GTTATGTGCAATTAAACCATGGCAACATCTAATGTTTGTGTAGTATTATGTTCAGCAGACTGTGTTCTTCTATTGTTGTGACTTAGATGACATTCAGAGCACATTTTATGCCCAATTCATGCAAAATTCCACGTAATCCCAAGGGGTTCACATACTTTTTTCTTGCAACTGTATAATGCTTGTAACAAACAGAGTCAAATGTGTAACATTACAGAATATGGCCCTAAATAGTATACATGTCATGAATAACGTAGTAGTTCCAAGTGGATACTTTGCTTGTCTCTCCAATGTATTTTGCGAGGCGCAGCCTGCTTCTTCAGGAAGACAAAGTATATAATTCCATTAATGACATCAGTGACTTTATGGGAGGTCAGTGGGAAGCATGAACATTGGATCCAAAGAGGAGGAGGAAAGAAGGTCCCTCAATCAGAAATGTAGATGTCCGAATTCAAGGATTCAACCTACTGTATGTCTGTAGCCCGTCCTCATTATTTTCAGCCTCAGGCCTGGGAGAAATAAAGCTCCGGACACTGAAGTGTGAAAGCTAAATCTCTGAAAGTTTAATGCATGACAAGAACGGTTATACAGAACTCAGTGGGCGTGGCTTAATCTCAGGATAACCAATGAAACATTCCATTCTTATGAATATAGTTACGTGAAGAACAGAAACTACAAATAGTTGAGGGATTCCATATAAGGTTGTTCCGTTTACAGAAATGAAACTAGTCTAAGAAAACGAGAGAGAAGTTACAAAACCGAAACTAACTGTTCACACGTCTAGAAATGGAGGCATTATACAACATGGATACCAGTTAATAAGACATACAGGTGCAAGAAAAAGTATGTGAACCCCTTGGGATTCCGTGGAGTTTTGCATGAATTGGGCATTAAATGTGCTCTGAACGTCATCTAAGTCACAACAATAGTACACAGTCTGCTGAACATAATACTACACAAACATTAGATGTTGCCATGGTTTAATTGCACATAACATGTAAACATTCACAGTGCAGGAGGAAAAAGTATGTGAGGCCCTAGCTTAATGACTTCTCCCAGAGCTAATTGGAGCCAGGAGTGAGCCAACCTTGACTCCAATCAGTGTGATGATATTGGATGTGTTGCTGACACCTGTTTTGGGTTTACTGGTTTCAAGAAGCACTGTCTGATGTGAACCATGCCTCGCAGAAAAGAGCTCTCAGAAGACCTACCATCAAGAATTGTTGACTTGCATGAAGCTGGAAAGGGTTACAAAAGTATCTCCTTGAGCCTTGATGTTCATGTGTCCACGGTAAGACAGACTGTCTACAAATGGAGAAAGTTTAGCACTGTTGCTACTCTCCCTAGGCGTGGTCGTCCTGTAAAAATGACTGCAAGAGCACAGCGCAGAATGCTGCATGAGGTAAAGAAGAATTTTTCTCCCTGCACTGTGAATGTTTACATGTTATGTGCAATTAAACCATGGCAACATCTAATGTTTGTGTAGTTTTATGTTCAGCAGACTGTGTTCTTCTATTGTTGTGACTTAGATGATGTTCAGAGCACATTTTATGCCCAATTCATGCAAAACTCCACGTAATCCCAAGGGGTTCACATACTTTATCTTGCAACTGTATTACAGAGACTGATGTGACTGTGGGGGAGGGGACATTAGAGTGTAAGCTCCTCTGGTGCAGAGACTGATGTGACTGTGGGGGAGGGGACATTAGAGTGTAAGCTCCTCTGGTTCAGAGACTGATGTGACTGTGGGGGAGGGGGGGACATTAGAGTGTAAGCTCCTCTGGTACAGAGACTGATGGGACTGTGGGGGAGGGGACATTAGAGTGTAAGCTCCTCTGGTGCAGAGACTGATGTAACTGTGGGGGAGGGGACATTAGAGTGTAAGCTCCTTTGGTACAGAGACTGATGTGACTGTGGGGGGGGGGGGACATTAGACTGTAAGCTCCTCTGGTACAGAGACTGATGGGACTGTGGGGGAGGGGACATTAGAGTGTAAGCTCCTCTGGTACAGAGACTGATGGGACTGTGGGGGAGGGGACATTAGAGTGTAAGCTCCTCTGGTACAGAGACTGATGTGACTGTGGGGGAGGGGACATTAGAGTGTAAGCTCCTCTGGTACAGAGACTAATGGGACTGGCTTGATGTTCTTATAGATGAAAAATGTACTTACCTGGGACATATGTATCAGGTAATTACTTCGTACGTCTGTCCAGCTCAGCAAAGGTTCTCTATGAGAGATATTTCAATTATCGTTCAGAGCACATTTTATGCCCAATTCATGCAAAACTCCACGTAATCCCAAGGGGTTCACATACTTTTTCTTGCAACTGTATTTCCTTACACTGCCAGTTGGACAGAGTTACATATCCATAACTGGAAGCACGTCCAAGGGTCCAAGGGGTACTTGCATCATCAGAGAAAACCCCAAGCATAGAAGGTCTATCTGCCATCAACAAAAAAAGTACGAATCCTCTGTCTGGTATCAACGGTACAGGTCCTCTGTCTGGTATCAACGGTACAGGTCCTCTGTCTGGTATCAACGGTACAGGTCCTCTGTCTGGTATCAATGGTACAGGTCCTCTGTCTGGTATCAACGGTACAGGTCCTCTGTCTGGTATCAATGGTACAGATCCTCTGTCTGGTATCAATGGTACAGGTCCTCTGTCTGGTATCAATGGTAAGGTCCTCTGTCTGGTATCAACGGTAGAGGTCCTCTGTCTGGTATCAACGGTACAGGTCCTCTGTCTGGTATCAACGGTACAGGTCCTCTGTCTGGTATCAATGGTACAGGTCCTCTGTCTGGTATCAATGGTACAGGTCCTCTGTCTGGTATCAATGGTACAGGTCCTCTGTCTGGTATCAACGGTACAGGTCCTCTGTCTGGTATCAACGGTACAGGTCCTCTGTCTGGTATCAACGGTACAGGTCCTCTGTCTGGTATCAACGGTACAGGTCCTCTGTCTGGTATCAACGGTACAGGTCCTCTGTCTGGTATCAACGGTACAGGTCCTCTGTCTGGTATCAACGGTACAGGTCCTCTGTCTGGTATCAACGGTACAGGTCCTCTGTCTGGTATCAACGGTACAGGTCCTCTGTCTGGTATCAACGGTACAGGTCCTCTGTCTGGTATCAACGGTACAGGTCCTCTGTCTGGTATCAACGGTACAGGTCCTCTGTCTGGTATCAACGGTACAGGTCCTCTGTCTGGTATCAACAGTACAGGTCCTCTGTCTGGTATCAACGGTACAGGTCCTCTGTCTGGTATCAACGGTACAGGTCCTCTCCAGAAGTACAGCCGTAATAAGCTGACCATAGACACATTTGATAGTAATCAGTCAGTTTCAGTTTTAGGTGGATGTTAAAAGCAGCAGCATAGATGCGTAGTTTGCCTGTTAAGGGAAAGAGAAGAGATGTTCAGATGAGGTAAAGCAGAAGTGCCCGCTTAATCAAAGAAACTCGCTTTATCGAAAGAAAACCAGCCTATGCCACCCCAGCATGTGCCCCCCAGAAAGGACATTCCTGGGGGTGTTCTGTGCACCCACAATGTACAGAACACCTCCAGGTTGCCATATTGTACCGAATTTAAAAAAAAAAAAAAATTACAGCGGCTGCAGATTGAAAAGAAAAGGTCATTGTTAACAACATTAAGTAGTGTATATGCTATACTATATTTTCTGTATTTTTTCCATCAGTTATCCTTTAACCAGGGGCCGACTGACAACTCATGGGGCCCCCCGGGCAATAGGGGATCATGGGGCCCCTGTGTCCTTGCCCAAACTCAAAAAGGTCTATGAAAAAGGTACCAGGGGCATTTCATGGGGTCCCCTACTGACCCCGGGCCCTCGGGCAGTGCCTGCGTTTCCAAATGGTCAGTCCGCCCCTGCCTTTAACCACTTCCCATCCGGCCCATGTACATAAACGGCCGAATGGGAGTGGTGCAGGAGCAGGTGGCTGTTCATAAACGGCGCCCACATTTTCAGGCTGTGAGCGCTCCCCGGAGGACACAGCGGAATACCGATCGCTGTATGGGACCTCTGTGTGGCCAATCAGTGATCACATGCAGAGTAGTAAGCAAGATGTCACCTCTGACATCATTGCTTACTACATGTGAAATCTGTGAATGATCACAGAGGTCACATGGTACAGGGCTATTCACAACAGCCTTGTACCATGTGACAAGCTGTGACCAATCACAGCTCACACAGTATTTCTGAATGTCTGCAAGAATGCAGCCAGAGAGAATGAGAAATGATTGCTTTTACAGCCTTTATGGGTGTAAAAGCAATCAGTGTAAACAGAAAAAAAAAAAAAATCTTCATCACCCCCCCCCACAAGTAGTACAGTGTCACCATGGTGATAGTGTACTGCTAGGGTGACAGTATGTGAAAAAAACCATAAATAATAATATAAAAAAATAAAAAAAAAATGTAAGTGAAAGTGTCCGGAATGGAAGGGGGGGAAAGTGTCCGTACTGGAAGGGGTGGAAAGTGTCCGTACTGGAAGGGGTGAAAAGTGTCCGGACTGGAAAGGGGGGGGAAGTGTCCGGGACTGGAAGGGGGGGAAAGTGTCCGGACTGGAAGGGGGGTGAAAGCGTCTGGACTAGAAGGGGGTAAAAGTGTCCGGACTGGAAAGGGGGAAGTGTCCGGACTGGAAGGGGGAGGAAGTGTCCGGACTGGAAGGGGGGGAAAGTGTTGGGACTGGAAGGGGGGTGAAAGCGTCCGGACTGGAAGGGGAGGGAAAGTGTCGGGACTGGAAGGGGGGGGGGGAAGTGTCCGGACTGGAAGGGGGGTAAAAGTGTCCGGACTGGAAAGGGGGGAAGTGTCCGGACTGGAAGGGGGGGAGGAAGTGTCCGGACTGGAAGGGGGGGGAAAGTGTCGGGACTGGAAGGGGGGTGAAAGCGTCCGGACTGGAAGGGGGAGGGAAAGTGTCGGGACTGGAAGGGGGGGAAAAGTGTCCCAGACTGGAAGGGGGGGGAAAGTGTCCGGACTGGAAGGGGGGGGGAAAGTGTCCGACTGGAAGGGGGGGAAAGTGTCCGGACTGGAAGGGGGGGGAAAGTGTCCGGACTGGAAGGGGGGAAAAGTGTCCGGACTGGAAGGGGGGGAAAGTGTCCGGACTGGAAGGGAGGGAAAGTGTCCGGACTGGAAGGGGGTGAAAGTGTCCAGACTGGAAGAGGGGGAAAGTGTCCGGACTGGAAGGGGTGGAAAGTGTCCGGACTGGAAGGGGGGAAAGTGTCCGGACTGGAAGGGGGGGGGAAAGTGTCCGGAATGGAAGGGGGGGAAAGTGTCCGTACTGGAAGGGGTGGAAAGTGTCCGGACTGAAAGGGGGGGGGGAAGTGTCCGGACTGGAAGGGGGGGAAAGTGTCCGGACTGGAAGGGGGGTGAAAGCGTCTGGACTAGAAGGGGGGTAAAAGTGTCCGGACTGGAAGGGGGGTGAAAGCGTCTGGACTAGAAGGGGGTAAAAGTGTCCGGACTGGAAAGGGGGGAAGTGTCCAGACTGGAAGGGGGGAGGAAGTGTCCGGACTGGAAGGGGGGGAAAGTGTCGGGACTGGAAGGGTGGTGAAAGCGTCCGGACTGGAAGGGGAGGGAAAGTGTCGGGACTGGAAGGGGGGGGGGAAGTGTCCGGACTGGAAGGGGGGGGAAAGTGTCCGGACTGGAAGGGGGGGGAAAGTGTCCGGACTGGAAGGGGGGGAAAGTGTCCGGACTGGAAGGGGGGGGGAAGTGTCCGGACTGGAAGGGGGGGAAAGTGTCCGGACTGGAAGGGAGGGAAAGTGTCCGGACTGGAAGGGGGTGAAAGTGTCCAGACTGGAAGGGGGGGGAAAGTGTCCGGACTGGAAGGGGTGGAAAGTGTCCGGACTGGAAGGGGTGGAAAGTGTCCGGACTGGAAGGGGGGTGAAAGTGTCCGGACTGGAAGGGGGGGGAAGTGTCCGGACTGGAAGGGGGGGAAAGTGTCCGGACTGGAAGGGGGTGAAAGTGTCTAGACTGGAAGGGGGGGGGAAAGTGTCTGGACTGGAAGGGGGGGAAAGTGTCCGGACTGGAAGGGGGTGGAAGTGTCTGGACTGGAAGGGGGGGGAAGTGTCCGGACTGGAAGGGGGGAAAGTGTCCGGACTGGAAGGGGGGGAAAGTGTCTGGACTGGAAGGGGGGAAAATGTCCGGACTGGAGGGGGGGGAAGTGTCCGGAGTGGAAGGGGGGGGAAAGTGTCCGGACTGGAAGGGGGGGGAAGGGGGGGGGAAAGTGTCTGGACTAGAAGGGGGTGAAAGTGTCCGGACTGGAAGGGGGTGAAAGTGTCTGGACTGGAAGGGGGGGAAGTGTCCGGACTGGAAGGGGGGGAAAGTGTCTGGACTGGAAGGGGGGGGGAAAGTGTCCAGACTGGAAGTGGTTAAGTATCTATCTTGACAACTAGATGAAGAAGAAACTATCAGACTGAGAATTTCCAAGGGTAGAAAGCATCAATACCACTGCCAACATCAAAATTGAAAATGCTTACCTGGCAGAGATCCTGCAATACAGAAATCAACAGTAATCGCCGTTTGGTAAAGGAAATGTTTCTTGATGGTTCCTGGTCATCGCTTGGTTTCCTGGGAGGTTCAGAAAGGGATGTGCACACCACCAATGGTTGTGAAGTGCATTAAAGTTTAGCACATCATTCTGTGGGTGTAGGATTTTTTTTTTTTATGGTTGAACTGAATGGTCTTTTGTCTTTTTTCAGCCAGACTAACTATGTAACATCATGACAGAGATAAAAAAACGGATAAAACCTCCAATGTATTTTGAATGAAAATAATTCCACTCCATTAGAGCCCGGAAATCTGTGTGAGAAGGAATGACAGACTCGGAGGAGAAGGTTTGGAAATACATCCCCCGTTTTCCCTATGAAAAAAGCATTTCAGTAGCTGATTGTAAAGTAAAGATTAAAGTAAAGTTTAAAGAATTTCTTATTCTGTACCAATTAGTATCGTGAAAATATTTCAGGCCTCCACTTTTCTACCAAAACTTTCAATACATCTGGTTTGTAGGCAGGGGTTTATAGGTTCCCCTTCATTTAGGTTCCTCCTGGAACTTGCCCAGAAAGTGACATCTCAACTTTTGCTGGCAGGAACCCATATAAGAAATAGACAGAGCTTTGCTGGGTGGAGATGGAGAATAGAGAAGCAACATGGTGGAACTGAAGGACTGGATGGCGTGTTCCTGTTCTTCCTCTTTGTTAGCCTTCCCTGGAGTCACCCATGGAGTTGGGCTTATAGCTGAAGTACACCACTGACCATGGGGCAAGGGAATTCTGTCATGTCATTGAAATTGGGCATAGACTGCTGCAATGGTTCTTGTTATGATGCCTTTAAAGTGGTTATAAAAGTATTTGTTTTTATTTCTAAGATAATACACATGTACTTACCTGCTCTGTGGAATGGTATTGCACACAGTGTAGAGATACCACCTCCTGTGAGACATTCTTAGCTTCTGTAACACAGCTCTCAGCCTCAAAGGTCTCTGAAAACCTCCAATCTTCAATCAACATAAATAAAGACGGGCACCAGTGTAAACCAGCTAAAACATGCAATCCTTCATTGATAATAGTGACAAAAAAAACATTAAAAGCCAACACATTTTTGCCCTCAGGCCTCAATCAATGCACGGAGTGGCCCTTATCCTCCTCTTCTGGAGTTCCCCACCGGCGCTCACGGCTCCCTCTCTCCTGTGTCTGCCACCATAACAAACCACTTGTTATGGGGGCAGACATGAGGGCTTGTTTCAGAACCAAGCTGTGTGCGCCCATTGACACACACAGCTCAGCTCAGTCCCGCCACCACCTCTCTGCTCATGGGATTTGATTGCCAGCAGCAGAAGCCGATGGCTCCCACTGTTGCCTCTGTGTCCTCTGAATGCAAGGATAGGAAAAAGCCACCAAAGATGAGCACAGCACTGGACTGATTGAGGACACAAGTATTTAGGGAGGTGAGGGGGTGGGTGATGCTGCTTCTGGGAAATGTTTTCCTCCATACAGGGAATTAGGGAAAAAAAATGTCTTGGCTTTAGAACCACTTTAATAAAAGACAAAGACTGTGCTTCTGGACAGGAGGATGCCTGACACCTGAGAGTATAAGGCAGGCCAGTACGCTGCTAAGCTGGGGTGGTGCAATTCAAAAAAACACGCCATGGGTGGTGGTATACAGGATGCTGAATAGAAGGTACATGGTGTAAACCTGATCAGTTTGGGATCAGTGGTGATCAGGGCAAAAATGTGCCCTCCTGGCCATGAGAAGCAGGCAAACAGTAAGACGGCATGGAGTGACACAAATGCTAGAGTTCCTTGCTGTACTGGGACTGTCATGCTGCCAGAAGTGCGGAGCAGAGAACCGAGGATCACGAAAGCAGGAACCAACCAAGTGTAAGAACACCATGGTACCGGAGCGAGTTACAAGAACTAGGTTGGGGCCCTTGCTGAGGGCCGACCAGGTCGGACAGCAGGGTAATAGATCAGGCTACCTTACTACCTACCAACCTTCTTCCATGTACCTGCATGATCTGTCTACTTGGGTTCAAGCCTACAGTCCAGGGTGATCTCTCTCATCTTCTGTTTATTGTTCTACAAGCCCTAACAATGGAGGTGTGTTGACTCCCCAAAATGCATTCAACTTTATTTCAGAACAAAGTCTTTTGTGAGCTGTACAGCGTGGAGCTCCCATCTTTTCAATTTTTTAGGACCAGGAGAAAGAGGCTGGGTCAGGGCACAAACAGAGGTCAGGAACAACCAAGTGGCTTGGTACCAAGAAACAGTTGCAGGAAACAAGCCAAAGTCAGTAACAGTCGGGCAAACAAAGTCCAAGGCAGGCCGGAGTCCAGAAGGCAGGCCGAGGTCACAGTGAGGAGGCAGAAGGCCAGAGGCAGGTTGGTAGACATGCTGGGCCATCTTAATAGCATCATGGGCCCCCGGCTAAAGTAATGCACTGGACCTCTACCAGGGAGATGGTGACCAGCAGCATGAATAGCACGCTGCGGCAATTAGTGGGTGTGGCTACACTATGCTACATATTGAGTGTGACTTTTTAGTCTGATTAGAAATTTTAGTCTGATTCTTTACAATTTTTTATTTTTTTTTTTCTACATTTTTTAAAAATAATTTTTTTTTGCATTTTTTTTTACAACTTTGTTGGGGAAGTGTTTGGTGAGATATCCGGGTCTAAACAGACCCCTGAAGTCTCACTTTTGAGACAGAGAAAGGAACTGAGAAAACACATTCCTCGTTTCCTTTCTGCAGCCTCAGCTGCACTGCAGACAGAGGCTCCTGTTCATTCTTAAACTGAAGCACAGTAAGTGATCAGTGCTGATCACTCACTGTGTTCATTTAGAAAAAGAAGGGGGTGTCAAAAGGCATATTTGCTGGCCCTTCTCCTCTCATTTTCCACCCTGAAGACCACAACAGCTCTTCGTCCTTCTCATGATCACTCTCTGTATAGAGCAGGGGCGGACTGACCGTTTTTAAACTCGGGCACTGCCGAGGGCCCGGGGTCAGTAGGGGGCCCCATGAGATGCCCTGGTACCTTTTTCATAGGCTTTTTTGAGTTTGGGCAAGGACACAGGGGCCCCATGATCCCCTATTGCCCGGGGGCCCCATGAGTTGTCAGTCCACCCCTGGTGTAGAGCTTAAATTATATGTAAACCTTCCTACCAATATACTTGTATTGCTTTCCTCTTTAAATATTACTTCCGCCTGGCAGTACTTGGATTGTTGGTTCAAATCCCAGCCACGGCACCACCTGCCTGGAGTTTGCATGGGCTCCCTGTGCCTGTGTGGGTTTTCCTCTGGGTACTCTGGTTTCCTCCCACACTCCAAAGACATGCTGGTCGGTGAATTGGCTCCTGTCTAAATTGGCCCTAGTATGTGTATGTATGAATGTGACTAAGGGACCTTAGATTGTATGCTCCTCGGGGCGGGGGGGACTGACGTGGACGTACAATATATATATGTAAAGTGCTGTGTACATTGATGGCGCTATATAAGTACCTGAAATAAATCAATAAATAAATAATGTAGACTTTGCTTCTGATGCAATCATATTTTTTAAACTCTGTTTATTGAACTGTTAAAAAAAAGTATATAAATGTTCCCAATTACAGTGAATATGCAAAGTTATCTGAATACAAAATATCCAGCGAGAAAGATACAAAATTAGAAGTAATGACAGTCTCTTCTGTGCCTTTGTTACATTATATAACATTGTAAACAGATGAGAGTCTATACTGATGATCACAGTCAGCCTGGGCTGGTCATCCGTTCCAAAATTCAAGCGCAAGTAGAGATACACCATACTTTCCAAAATGTACGGAATTTATAGAAACCCTTCACCCGTAAAAAATTATTTTCCCCACCCTTCCCCCCCCAATTTCTCACATTTGGATATTATTTTTTTTTTTTTCTACCTGTGCTGCAACACAGAGCAGATGTTCTGCAGGTTTTCCAAGGACTTGACTGTCTTGGTCAAAAGCTGAATTAATGAATACAGTGCTGAAGGACAAGGTTCCCACATGGAAGAAAAATAGATTTGAAAAATGGGCAGCGCAGTGGCTAAATGGTTAGCAGTTCCGCCTGGCAATACTAGCGTCGTTGGTTCGAATCCCAACCACGGCACCACCTGACTGGAATTTGCATGTTCTCCCTGTGCCTGCGTGTGTTTCCTCCCACACTCCAAAGACATGCTGGTAGGTGAATTGGCTCCTGTCTAAGTTGTCCCTAGTATGTGTATGTATGAATGTGAGTTAGGGACCTTAGATTGTACGCTCCTTGAGGGTTGGGGACCTTAGATTGTACGCCCCTTGAGGGTTAGGGACCTTAGATTGTACCCCCCTTGAGGGTTAGGGACCTTAGATTGTACCCCACTTGAGG